TAGTAGAAATTGCCAATATCGACAATTGCTTTGGGACTAGTAAGAATTCCAAGCCAACATATCTATAATGTATTTTGACTAGTTTTTATTAGAAATATCTACAATTAATTTGTCACTAGTCAAAATGTTAATTCTTGATATCAACAATTCATTTCTTATAGTGGAAATGTTCACTGTAGATATCTGTAACTTAATTACAACTCATCAGCTTTATTATCTAATTATTATATTATTCGTTGATACATCAACGAATAAATTCTCACTAGTGGTAATATCTATTGTTGATATCGATAATTTAGTTCTTAACAGTGGTAATGTTCATTGCGGATATCTACAATTGTTCTAGATCAGATATCATAATTGGAATAATAGTTTCTAAAATTTAGTGTTTACTGGCCAAAAATAAACTATTGATATGTCAACATGGAATTGTATAGTAACTATTAGGAATGTAATTTCCAATATTCAGAATTTCATTTCAGAAACACAATTGTATCCAGTGAAAACGATAATATCTGAGATATTCCTTTAATAATTTAGTTCAGTCAGAATTGAATTTTGATTTAAAAAATGGGATTTCCACTCCTTAAAAATGTCATGGTAGATATCTTCAGCTATATATGTCCAAAATGAATGTGGAAATTAAGGTGACATAGCGTAAATTAATATGCTAATGTGGGTTCCATTTCCAAAAATAATATGCTAATTAGAGAAGGAAATAGTTTTTGATATGTCAGGAGGGTTACATTTCAGATTTAGTTTTCACTTGTGGAAATTATATATCAAAATTTTTACACATGTAGAAATTACACTTTGTCAAGTCAAAACTAATTTACAGATATCTTTAATTTAATTATATATATCAATAATTCCTTTTTCACAAGTCAAAATAACGATTACAAATATCTGCTTGAATTTTCACATGTTGAGAAATAAATTGCTGCTATTCAGCCCTATGATTAAATGTTAATAAGGCTTATCATGGACAACTAAAAAGTGTCCAGTGTGTAACATTTAGGGGAATCTATTGGTAGAAATATAATATAATATTCATTGGCATGTTTTCATTAGTGTATAATCACCGATATGTAGGAATCGTTGCGTCTTTGTTACCTTAGAATGAGTCGTTTTTTATCTACAAATGCTGTGGGTCACCTACCATGGAGTCCGACAGACTTAGTGATTAGTCTGCCTCCTGCTTCCGTTGTAGTTGAAGCTCACTTATTGGCTCTCAGGGATAATCACTAAAATAGCTGCGAAAATTAACACAAGTAATTGGTACCATAGGAATAGAATGAACACTGCATCTGCATTCTTGTAAGCTCAAAGATATGTATATTTAAAATACTGAAGATACAGATGGACAGTGGAGTGGTGGATGCTACCTTTGCACACTAGTGAGCTGACAGCAGCAGAAGAGGCACTCTCTATACAATGGAGCCAGTGGAGTTGCACTGAGCAGAGATATATGCTGGTAGCTTGCTCCTCTTGCACAGCCACTTGACCTTAGTGGCTGCAGTGATAGGGTTACTGTGAGAGCTTAGTGTATATACACACACCTAGGCTTCTTGAGAAATGACTTTGTAAAGCAGTTAACTGCTACTAATTTTATGTTTGGAAAGGAAACACAAATCACTAGTGACAGTAGCACAGGGATCAGCAGGTACTGTTATTTCATAGTCAGCGCACAATCCCAGCATTCTTTAACCTGACACTGTTGTCAGTATCTAGTGTCTATCTAGGAAGTCGTCATTGGAGACTGTTTGGAAAAGGGCAGGCACAAATACTTGGCAGGTGATTGGATGAATTGTCGGTCTATCACCGTCTATCACAGACGAACTTCAACCAATCAGATCAACAAACCATATAACGTTGTCAAACACTCAGCGAAGTCAGTCGGAAGAGTAAAAACATTTTTAGGTAATGGGTGGCTAGCTTGTACAGTCCTGTTAGACAGTGTGGCCGGTGTAAAATACAACTATATTTCAACAGCAGACCAAGTTTTTTATGCATATAATGAAATTTCTTCTTGTCTTCTGAGATTAAACTCACTTGAGTTTTGTTTCTTCAAATGAGATATTGTGTGACAAAAGCAACGGTATAGTCATACTGAATGAAACAGAGTGATAACAGTTTGCAAAAGGCATATATGTTCTTGCCATATTTAAAAAACAAGATCATACTAAGATCAAACTATCATTAATCATAATCATGAGAAGCAGAAAGACATACAAATAGGTTGATGTGATATGTCAACAACATAGACTTTGTTTGGCAAGGAAAACTGGAAAAGTTATGCTGGAAAAACTTAAAATTAAGTTTGTTTCTGGTACGATTCACACCACAGACTGTCCTTGGAAGACTGCAGTGAGCCTGGACGACAATAACAAAGTGTGCTGATAAGGAGCGGCAAAGAAGTGAAAGCCTGAAGGTCAGTCCTGGTTGTGCTGGGAGCTCCCAGAGCGCTGAGGATTCTGCTGACATCCACCGTCTTTGTTCTGCGTAATTGGCTAAAAGACTGAGCAACTATATTTACACATCCCCTGAAGAACATTAATTACAGACTGAGAGAGAGAAAGAAGTATCATCACTTTGCTGGTATGCACACATGAATGCTTATTAAGGATGGTAGATAATATACTTGCTCGGGTATCATTTAAGATCATCTTTAAGATTCAGATGGCTTAAATAAGCTTAATGAGCTTAAATGTTCACTTACACGTGTGGTTGAGAATGATTCTTTATTAAATCTGTCACAGTTTAAATTATAAATGTCATAGATGACAGCTGATATTGTCATAGAAAATTTATTTTCAAGACATACAAAACAAATACTACACATGTAAGGCAACAGATAAGGTTTTAGTTTTCTTATCTACTTCAGCTGCAGTTGAAGAGTTCCTCCTTTTCTTAGATTGCCTCTTGACAGTCTTTGGAAAGGAAATGCCTAAGCACCCCCATTCACCTGTGGATTGTACATAGAGATGAAATGAGTAAAACAACTAGCAGTAGGAAAGAAAAAGCAATCAAGAAAAAAATAGTCATGCTCCCACTCTAACACAACATGTCCTTTGGCCACATTGCATCATTGAGGCTATTGCCAATGATCTGCCTCCTCTACAATGGATTTTTTCTCCCCAGGGCAACTCTGTATCCTAGAAAGTATGTTTATATAATACTGATTTGCAACACTTTCAGGGAAAGATGAAATGCCGCCTGAATCACTTTTTTTAATCAACATAATTAGGAAACCTTTTTAATGAATGTGTCTGCCAAGTCGTAAAAACGCTTATACGAAACATATCTGCAAAATGTTGATTAACAGTATATTTACTTTGTTTTCCTCATCATATTCTTGCTATGCAATATGTGCTCATAACTAAACAATGATTAACATATTTTATGGTTATGTTTAGGCACTGTATTGTGCCTGTGTGTGTAATGTAAAACTAGGAAAATGTTATTTTATCATAACATTTTATTTTATTTAAAATGTATATGTATGGACTTGCCAGCAAAGCTTAAAGCGAAGACATGTGCCCAAGTAGAAGCCTGTTTAATTAGTTTCAAAAGTCCAGTGTCGCAACCAATAAGTCAGGTGGCGCAACTGCAGGAAATGACACTATATGAAATAAGTAATATTATTTAAAACTCTATATTATATAATACATTTCTAAAATGTTTATCAGTTCTACGTTAAAGATGTTATACATTTTAAAACCTTTTTTATTATATTTTTTAATCTTTTTAGATGCCACTATCAAGTAAAGAATATCAGCACAACACAGACACAAAGTAAATATGATCCAAATCAATAGTATGAAAATATTTTTATATATTTACAAGTATTTGGTTGCACACCCTTAAAATTTTTGGGTGGTGAAGTTAGAAATACTGTTAAAAAATGAATTTAAACTCTATTATTTAACAAATACTTGCAGGCCTAAACCCTATCCTACAACAAAATGAATCCAGTTGTCCAGCTATATCAATAAAATCCTAAGAATGAATGAAGATTTACAAAGATATATTAAAATAGGCTTTTATCATCACATATTTAACAGTAACTAAAAAAGACGAGTGCCTTATTATGTGTGTACATCAGTTGGTCACATGAATGGCTTAGCCAAAGTGAAACCACACCTTTTCCTGCTGTTCACAGTTTGTATCCTGCTTTTTTTGTGAACAATATAAATTTTGTAGGAGTGTCCTGCAGTTGTGCCTTTGTGCTCTCTCGCATTCACTTTGAAACAGCCATGTTGTTGTGAAAGGAATTGCATGCATTTCCACAACTGGGGATGCCTGCTGGGGACCTTGTTAACCACTTCCTGTTATTGTCTATCACAGGAAGTGGACGGCCACTACATTGCAGAAGTTCAATGGCAGACTTTCAATTTTCCTGCGTGTGTGTGTTCATATTTTGTAACGGATAGGCGCGGATTACCCAACGCATTCAGGAAAGAGTAAAAAAACAAACGACCAGACCAAGGAGCAAATAAACAAAATGTGACCAGTGTCATTGTAAACAATAACTGCAACTATTTATAATGTGCAATCAGGTTCAATTTGTCAATATACCCTTCTCAGTGAGTAACAAACTAATCATTTGTGCATGAAAAGCAGCACAAAGGGATAATACACTTCACAGCACAGCCCTCAGCAGCTTTAATCGTTATCACAGTTAATTTTATAATACATTCAAGATGATCATTCAGAGGTTACTTTCAAAAGGCAGTTGATTAAGTATAGTGCTCTGCGTGAAATACAATGGGACCACTTGACCAGAGAGCAAGGAAGGTAGTAAGGGAATTGTGATAAAAGGCAGCAAGCATGCGAACAATCTGGATCATCACACTATTTGTCTGATGCTTCACAGTGGAACTGTGATGAAATACTACAGAGAAGGGTTAGCAATAGAACAGTTTGGGTGATGTGACAATATTGTGTGCAACAGCAAGACACCTGTGACTAAAAAACGTGACTGAAAAAGACAATGTGAGGGCAAACCCAACTGCTATGGGGACTTAAAAATCTAATCTGTAAAAATGATTTATGACATACTGAGACCCTAATCTTTCACTTTATGGGCCTCCTGCTGCAGAGGATGACATACCCCAGGAGGTAAGGAATATTTAGGATTTTTTAGGCAATAGAAATTATTTCTGAAGCTGAGAAAAGGGGAAATGTAATTACAGGAGTACATAACCATGAACAAAAGAGCGCAAGTGATAAATCATATTTCACAGGCATTGTTGCATCTTGTCTGATGTTTGTCAAATTACATCATGCTACGCGTTGCAAATTTTTTAGTTTATAATGTGTGACCAGTACGCCGTATTATTTGGAGTAACCAAGACTGGTGATGCAATTGAATGCAACCCCCAAGTCATTTCCCATGGAGCATGTTTTTGCAGCCCTGTCTTATTTTACTTTCATCCACATTGTTTTTTTGTTTGGGTTTTAAACCATCAAACCAATGCCTGAAGTCTATTGACACAGGTGCCAATCATAGTGTTTTATTTTGTATTTATATGAATATAGAGCCTATTATTATATAACCCCAAATACTGGTTGAAGGAGACAGAAAAGAAACTGACAGAGGGTACAAGTGCAAGCGTGAGGGAAGAAGAAAAACAGTTCTTGCTGAGGAGGATAGGGAGTTGGCTGATGTAATTGAGATAGAATGAGATGGTATCAGCACTGGGGTCGCCATGAATAAACAGAGGGAGGGCACTGAGGACAATTGAGTGTGTGAAGGAGAAAGAGGCCAACCCCGTGCATGTGTGTATGTGGAAACATTCTCCTATATGCCTTTGAGCATATGTGCAGCTTGCATGCATGCCCATGTCCATGTATGTGTGTGTGTGAGGATCATCGTTGTGATGGGGGGAGGGGAAGCCTTCGCTCTAAGCCCTAGAACTGACTGACTGGTGCTTTCCCCTGTGTAGTGCTGGCTGTGTTTGTGCTGCATGGAATAAAGACCTCGCTCCCGGGGAATACCCGGGGGATCGTCACCTACACAAAACACCATCACACACAACAACGTCCTCTCTTTGTCTCGCCCACACTTCTATCTCCCGAATGTATTTACTCAAACTCTGTGTGCTCATGCACACACTTATCACAGACACATCATGCACATCAGCAATCAACAACAGGTACTCAATATAAAATGACAGCCTAAGGGGGTGATCCTGAGAGAAAGACTAATAAATATGGAGAGCAGATGCCGATAATCAAGTATTCAAGTAAATAATAGCATTTTTCACAACATGCTTGGAGTACCATATGGGTAGGGTTTACACAGCTTAACAATATAAACAGTGTCAGGTAATTCTCATAAATATTGACTTTTAGGTACTTCTGTGCAACATTAAATTGGGCTTAAGGATCACAATGATTCTGTGCCTACCTAACAGAGTTGTGACAATAGCAAAAGAAATATCATAACATATGGCCTTGATCGGACCTAAGATTTCTGGGATTGGATGGGTCAGACCAACTGCTAGGCTCTGACAGTGCAGATTTATCTGCTGTGTCCTTAATCCACATGATAAAAAAAGGATAACGAGGTATCTAAACATGATTTTGATCAGAAAACCCCATAAAAGCTTCAGTATTTCCAGCATAATTAAAATGGTCAAGGTGAGGATAAATGCAGAGGTCACAGATGTAGATAGTTTTGCCTAATAGCGTCACACACTGTTTGATAGTGTGAAAGAAAGGGTATTTTGTCTCACCAGTGTTTCTACATTTCTACAGTAGGCGTACAAGTATTGAAAGAGTCTTTGCTGTAAATTAATAGTTCAGCATTTCAGGAAATAATAAGCGTAATTGTTTTCTTGCTGAGCATTAGATGAGAAGATTGACAACACTCTTATGTCAATCCACTGAGTATTACAGCCGAGGGTTTTGAATTACAACTTATAGTATTAAGTAAAAGCTATGAGAAAATTAGCTTAGCAAAAAGACTGGAAACGGGTAAACAGCTAGCATGACTTTTTCCGAATATCTGCCTACCTGCAATGTTCCTATATTTTATTTGGACCACTGACTCCATAAAACTAAGTAGCTTGCCATTTACAAAATCACCACTTCAGCCAGCACCACAAAGCAACCAATGCCAGACCCACACCGTGAAGCCACGCCACAGCCAGTCGGCCAACCCCAGTTTAGGCTACATAGCTGGATGCCCCTGCCCTGTCTCATTCTTAGCTAGTAGAAAGCAATCGTCTGCTTTGTATGGTTACATCTATTGTTGGCTAAAATCACAACTGTTTGTCATAATACATAAGTTAGTATTATGGATCACGTAAGCTTTTGAAGTAATATTGAAATCTAAGGTCGAGCGAGCTAGCAAGCTAAGGTTAGCCAGCCAGCTGCAACACGGCCACGCCAAATAATAACAAAGTAGCCTGCAAATGGCAAATAAAAGGGATTAAACATAAAAATAATACATAAAATGCTTAAGAATACATACATATGGACCTTGTGATGGCTCTGTGACTGTGTGAATATAAAATACAACGCTACACAACAAAGTAGATGCAAATACAAAATGCACACTACTACATTTTTTAAGGGTTAGTTTATTTCAGGTGACTAATTAAATGCACATACGTGCTTGAACATGTATGCATGCAGACATACATAAACACACAAACAGAGACAGACATGTCTGCCATGAACCTAAGCATGTCCTGGCTAGTCTCCCTAGAAGCAGCCTTAAGAGAGCCAGGGGACTGAATGAGGCCTTTTGAGTCCTGGCTGGTGAGGGGCAGGTCCATTGTTAAGGACAGCTGGGCCTCTTGTTCCTTGCTTTCTCTCTGGGGGCAATGGGCACCCAATATGAGGAGATAGGGTTTCTACTGCACACTCACTCCCAGCCCCCCTCGCATCTGCAGCAGCATTGACTGTGAATGTCTATCCTTCTGTCTGAGGCTACTTCTAGGCTCTATTGACTTGCTGTTGCACTTGCGTGTGGGGATGAGAAGAATACATGTAGCCAGTAATTTTATTTTACAAGCTAATAAATATATATCTATATATGTATATATATAGATATATATAGCAATTACACACTGTAGAATTGCATTTTTAGCTATAAACATGGGATAAATGGAAATTTCTGTTGAATTAAAAAAATATTTTGAATAAGGTTATAGGCAATATTATATATAATATATAACAAAAAGGTGAAACTGTTGACTGTAAAATTGTAGTAAAGCTGCTCAGCTCTTTTGTAGTATCATTCCTAAACGGGTTCTTAAACAACACACAGCTCCGAGTTCATTCTTGTCGCCACATCTTGTCCTTCTGTATCTCCATTCCCCATTCCTCCACCCCTCTCCTTTTTCCCACACTCTCCTCCTTCCTTCCCTGCCCGAGGGAGTACTGTGATTGGGTGAATAGAGCTGCTCTCTGCGGAGTGTACTCCGTCTGTCACTATCCTTGTGGCAGGAGAGTGGAATGGAATAAAGCTCCCAAACTGGGCTATTAAAGGCTATTTTCATCCCTGCACGTCTGTTTCTGTGGGCTCATGCTCCAAATATAGATTTGGCACCAGTGACGCTAATGAAACACGTCCCCCTTTTCGCTGGTTTAAATCTACTTATGTAATCTCTTCCTTGCATCAACAGGAGCTGACCATACCTTACCATCTGGGCCTGATCATGCAGTTATCTCCTCCTGTCATTACTGTCTTACAAACTCAGGCCTGTGTTTTTTCTCTTTGAGGTCAGGTGCATGAGGTGGAAAGTGGGAGTACGGGAGTAAGAGCAACGTGTTTCCATTTGGGTGTCAAGCATAAATCCAAGAAAAACACGCTGGGTGTGACCTACAAGTTCCAGCCAGTATCCTGTCATTCCAGTGCACAATGCAGGGAGGGAGGTGACAAATCCCTAAGCCACTTTGTGTCAGAGGCAGACACAAATAGAGTGGCGTTCCATGTGACAGATGCTGCACACACAGGGCTGGGTTAAAAATCAATGACAGTTCAGTTCATCTGATGTTCTATGCTGTGTTTCTTTAAAAAAAAAAAAATAAGTGGAAGAAAGAAATAAAGCAGTTGAAACAAAAAGTCGGCATGTGCTGGAATTCATCAGTAAGCAGTAATGTCACCAACACCCCAAAGACACAACCGTGGAATGATTTGTTTTCTGTGACCTGTTTTTGTAGTAAGAGCACTTTGGTATTTGAGGAAAAAGGAAATTCAGCAAGCATCCTCAAAAGCTGAGTAGAGTTTATGGTGTGAAATATTTAAAACCAGGCTGTCAATACAAGGAAAAGGAATATTTTATCTACACGGGGGACAGGTATGTTCCCTGTGTTGTTTTTATTTTTGGGGTTGAATCATAACTACAGTGTTTAAGCAGTAGGACCAAATGATGGTGCAATATTTTTTAGCAAATATCAGGTGATTTATGAGAGTAAAGCACCACTCTCTGCTACTCTATAGCTACATGCAAGTGCGCCTGGTAGCATTCCCCTCTCTCTCCTGTGCATATTTGCTGAATAGAGGTACTATGGGTCAGTGGAGCAGCTGGTGACTGGGAGGAAGAACTTAACCAGGCCTCCTTTGTGGATCAGCTGTCTCTGGCCGAGCTTTGTCATTCCAAATTGGGTCCCTTACATCCAGAGCCTGGGGAGGTTTTGACATGTAAATGGAGGACTGAGAGCTCCAAAGCCCCACGATTACTCACTAAAATGCTACAGGGGCCAAAAACGGTTCCCTGAGATGCACTGCTGGGGGGGAGGACACACACGCAGCCTCACTGCAGACTGAAGTGTGCCTCACAGTCTGGAATTATGTTAATGATTGAGCTTCCGTCTGGACACAAAACAGTCTCCACCCTAATAGAATTATTTATGGTGGATACGGGCAGTCACTATGTGGGCAGTCTTATGGAGTGTGTAAACACTGTAAAGCGGTTTGGGACACTGTAAGTGATATTGGGTTATACAATAAATAAACTATAGACTTAGTCTAAAATATTTTATTTACCAGTTAATTAACTTATTAGGACAATACTGGTAAATGGTGCTACATAAGAAAAATAAATGCAACAGATGTTGCAATTCACGTCTAAGCCAATTTGCAGACCCTACTGTTTGGTGTTTAAGTTAATTTAACATTGATTTACATTTGAGAGAACAAAATGGACTGTGCACATGAATATATGCATGTGTCATTGTGTGTATGTATTGTACCTGACTGTGTATGCACCGAGAGGTGGAAAATGGCAGTGAGGATGTAGGTATATGATCGTATAATATATGTGTGTGAGAAGTGAATACATTCAAATCTCATGCAGTGTTCACATCTTTGTCTGAAGTGGTAAGGCATTCCATTTTTGCAAGATTAAAGAAACAAATTACAATTTTAGGTCTGTATTTTTATTATTACACTCAATATAAAAGTGTTTTGATCTGAAAATATTATCAATCATGCAGTTGAAATGAATGTAAATACATATATATTTAGCTAAAGTGACTAAGTTAGACAGCATTGGCATTTTGAATTTGCAAATTAAGAAGAGTGCATCAAACAAATGTACGATGTATGAGTTTCCATGATGATAATGATATATTGAATTAAAAATATTAGTATATAAGCTTTAACTTATCCAAAGGTATATGAATGACCGCACTTAACAAACAGGTGGTGAACTGTTGCACACAAAAATAAATGGAAAATAAACTAGAAGAAAATCCATCTTAAATGAGCTTAACCTTTGATCATTTCAGTAGCTCTATAAAACAAAGCTTATGGCCAGAAAGCAACGCCCCAGTAAGTGTTCAGAACGTCTGTGTGCCACATGTGTGCATGACTGTAAAACACTCACTCACTCACAGGAGAAGCTGCCCATATGTAGTTAAATAGTTACAATGGTGCTTTAACCAAAAGAGCAAACAAACAAGAATAACTCAGCACATTTGGACATGCGCCAGAGCTGCAAACATCATTGCACTAACACAAACAAAATACTCCATGGCCTCAATAATGCACCACATTACACATCTGGAGCATGTGTCTCATATTCGTAAGAGGGGATAAAACCAACAGTAGAGAGCTGCTGAGCAGCAGTAGCAGTAGGCATGCAGGAAGTGAAATTTGCTCAATATACCGTAGCCTGCAGCAGTTTGAGGGATAATTGCTGACACTCCTAGCTTGCTAGATAGCCATTCCATGCTGCAGTGGTCAGGGAAACCCTCTGTTACTGACAGCTGTCTGAAGCACGGCACACAGAAAGGACATGACACGAAGCATGTAAACATGGATTTACCCATGTCCTCCATACTGCCCGCACAGCTTATTATAGAAGGATGCTGGCAGCATAATAAACCAGGAATTGTTGCCTGCTGTGGCAGAGTGCTTCTTTCCAGGCTGCCCTACTTTCTGCCTGCAGTTGTTGACTTGGTTTATTTGTTCTGAATGGCCACTTATTGCTGTTTTTTCTTTACTTTTGCTGTTTATGAGGAAATGGAGTGGCTCTACAGTTCCGGGCATAGAACACTTAGGCCTACTGCTGTGCCTCTGTGAATACTTTCCATCACTGGTATCTGGGTTGTGATGCTGGGCCTCTGCAAACAAGGAAACATTTATCACACCCACAGAGAAATCGCGATAATGAGTTTTAATTGAGAGCAAAACAAACTGTTTAAGTTGTTTACATGATGTAAAGCAGTGTTTACTTTTAATGCCAATCACACAGTAACTGATCTGATACGTCTTTGCAGCACAGTGACGCAGTAAGAGAGAGAGAGAGAGCGAGAGGGCATGGGGGTGTGGGGGGTAAGGAGATGAACAGAGCAGCAGATAATGACCTCAGCTTCCATCTGCTGGGCACTGCGGGGTGGAGACACCTTCAACCTGCCACCGGTCGGTCGCCACGGCAATCTGCCGCTCCCCATCGTCCTGGTGACATCTGCTTTTGGGTGACTGAAAGATGAATGCAGCACCAGCCGCATGGGCACAGAACAGACGTCACACAGACCACTAGACATACACACTAGCACTGCGGCACAGATGGCCACAGACACACTACTGTGGAGATTACAATCTAGGCACTCTCTACAGACTCTAACCTCTCAGTAAAGTGGATGTAATATAATGACAGGTTTGTGTTAGTGCAAAGATGTTTTGGGTCTTTTCCTGAAGAGCTGGCATTGGCAGCCACTAGCTGGCGTTCCAGAAACCTTTTCATAGTGCAATTTATTTAGGCTATGTAATACCCCAGAACCACTGTCACTGCTAACATACATGACACAAGCTTTCACCTGTTTAAGGAATCAGACTTATGTTTTTAGCGCATTTGAGTTAATAATGCCAATGTGTTTGTTTACAGAGCATGGGGAATAACTGCTGTTGTTTACTAGTACTCTGTATCTATGGCGATATCGTTTTGCTTGACTAGAGTCCCCAGTCACAGCTGTCACAGTTATTTAGTGCCTCTGCGGTAACCTTGGAAACACACACCCTGCATACAAGTGTTTTCACAAAGTGAGATCCTGATAAACAGGTGAAGAGCTGGGAATATGATGATTACACACAAAACAGCATGAAAAAAGTAACAAAACCACCTAATGCGTTGGGTTCACTTTGAGGAGAAGGACAGCTGGAGGGAGGACAGACAGAGTGAGAGAGGAAATTAAGGGGTGGGGCGCCAGTGACAGAGGAACAGTGAAGCAGAGGAAGCAAAGGAAAAAAGAGGGGAATTCAGGTCAGTGTTGTGGATTATGCATGCTGGGCCGGGCATTTTGATCCACCTCTGGTTTGGAGAGAGAAGAAACGCTTGGTGAGAAAGGGCAATTGAGTGATAGATGAGCATGAGAGGGGAGCACCAAAGTGAATACATGATCAATTGTAATTGGCTTTCATAATTTCTTAGGGAGCAGGACTGAAACTTTGTCGCAATCATCTCTTGAGAAAGCCAGTTAGACTTAAAGGAAGTGCTGACAGGTTATGCCAGGCCAGAAAATATTACACTGTGCTCAGATGGCTGAAGGTGATTCAAAACAACAAGGCTGCATTTTTTAAATCAAGAAACTAAAGCTGGTCACTGCAACAGAGCCACGAAGTTAAACCCAACTGTAGATGTAGAAGAACACTAATTGTTACCTAAAACAGGCCAAACCTTAATGGGTTGATTTCAGTTTTCTAAAATACCAGGCAGGCTTAGTTTATGAATTGCAATTCCAAGAATGACTCTATGTTTCCTGTGGCTCAGTTAAGCAGCACTGTTTAGAGTCCACAATAGCCCTTTTATGGTTGGTAGAAAAACAGAATATCTCCGAGGCCAGTGACAGAGGTGTCAAAGTACAAAAGTGTGTCAACCCTTAGTGTTTACTAGGTCAAAAACTATTTGGGTCAGTCTGGGTATACTGATTTTTGTGTTTGTCTAATCTACCCTTAAGTGCCAGAATTAACCATAGAAACATTGGAGCTAGTGTTTTTGTAAATAGGCAATCACTTTATGTTAATATATTACGCAAAGCTATACTTAATTGAGTTACAACCCACATATGACAAATCCCAGTCACTTGGCATTTAAAAGGCCACCTTATTAATTTTCAACCTGAAGCCTCCCTTTTTAAAGTGGGTGCATATGTGAAAATTTGAAGTTTGAATTCCAACAGAGTTCGGTGTTTTATATTTTGCCTCCTCATCTCTATGCCATTAGCACTGTCCCAGCAGGGGTATAGGACTGGCAGACAGGTGGCTTGAACTGGGCTTCTGGAGCAAGCATGCCTCTAAGAAAAAGCTAATGTGACTCAAAGGCTATGTGCTCATAAACAATGAAAATCCCTTATCTAACCAAGCTTAGCAACCGTATATCACAGCAAACAATCTCTTTACATAATAACAGAAAACAGATGAACAGTTTTAGTTTATGAAAACACTTACTCTGAAGTCAACTGTTCTGTTTTTCTTAGTAGAATCTTTTTTTTTTTATCTTTGAATCAGCTGATGACCAGCATGATACCTAGCTGGCTTTGCATGCATATTGCAGCTCTCTAAGTGAAAGTGGGGATGTTGAAATCTTCTCTAAACGGAAAGAAAAACTAGTAGGTCTACAA